AAAGCGGTTCCCAAGCCTCCATTTGGTTTCCCCGCTGTAGAGGACGCCACATTGGGAACAACGGATACAGAATACCTTGTCAAAGGTTTTACTAAATTCCAGGTAGACAACATCTACCGCTCTGCCTTCATCTATCTTTTTGGTCACATCATCAAAAACTCAATCAAGTTTGTGAGACACAATTTCCCATGCACAAAGCCATACTATCCTGAATCATTCCTTGCCTTTCCAAATGCATGCAAATCCTATCTCTCAGAATCCCCTCCAACAACTTACCTACCACCGATGTTAGACTCATTGGTCTATAGTTCCCAGGCTTCTCCTTACAGCCTTTCTGAAATAAAGACACAACAATAGCCACCCTCCAGTCTTCCGGCACCTCACTTGTACCTGCAGGTGATACAAATATCTCTGCTAGGTGGCCTGCAATTTCTTCCCTAACTTTCCACAACATCCTGGGATACACTTGATCAGGTCCCAGAGCTTATTGCCTGTTTCCCGTTGTCCCTTGAGAAAGTGGTGGTGAGCTGCCTTCTTAAACTTTCATGGGGATTTTGCTGGTCGGCCACAAGGAGGTTGGGGTGCCCGGGCAGATCTCTGGCAGTCAGCAGAATTGTGGAAGCAGCTGAGGGCTCGGATCAGCACCAGAGCAGGACTCTGGCAGTCGGCGGCGAAAAGGCAGCACTGGGGCTTAGGGATCGAGGCCTTGTGGGAAAAGCCCCGCGAGGAACGACTGCGGGCCTATAGCTAAATAAGGACTAGTAATTTGGAACTTTTACCTTTATTTCATATTTACTACCTCACATTGACAAGAACTGTAATGTTGAATTTTTAACTCATTTCTTTACTTTTCTACTCTTTACCCAAGATTTTGTATGTAGGTACCTTGCACCTAAAAAAGGTACCGTGAGTGGTGACATTGTAAACTTTTCACTGTTCTCCTGTATTCCTAACTTCAGTTCACATGACAATAAAACCTAATTCTAATTCTAATGTGCTGTGGGTTGACCCACAATGCCCTTAGGGAGGGAATTCCAGGATTTTGATCCAGTGACAGTGAAGGATCGGCAATACCATTCCAAGTCAGGATGGTGAGTGGCTTGGAGTGGAACTTTCAGGGGGTGGTGTTCCCATGTATCTGCTGCCCCTTGTCCTTCTAGTTGGAAGTGGTCGTGGGTTTGGAAGGTGCTGTCTGAGGATCTTTAGTGATTTTCTTCAGTGGATCTTGTAGATGGTACACACTGCTGCTACTGAGTGATGGTGGTGGAGGGAGTGGATCCTTGTGGATGTGGTGCCAATCAAGCGGGCTGCTTTGACCTGATTGGTGTTGAGCTCCTTGAGTGTTGTTGGAGCGGCACCCATCCAGGCAAGTGGGGTGTATTCCATCACACTCCTGACTTGTGCCTTGTGGACGGTGGACATGCTTTGGGGAGTCAGGAGATGAGTTACTGCAGGATTCCTAGCCTCTGACCTACCTGCTCTTGTAGCCTCACCAGGTTAGTTTCTCGTCAATAGTATATCCCCCAAGATGTTGGCAGGTGGTGGGGTGGGAGGGGTGCGTTGGGAAGGAATTCAGAGATGGTGATGCCATTAGATGTGAAGGGAGCGATGGTTACAATGTCTCTTGATGGTTGTTAACACGCTTAGCCAGTTGTTAATTGGGGGCTGTCAAAATAGGGAGCAGTGTTGCTGATTTCTGCAACCTGAATTCAGAAGATTGGCAGAACTGGCGGTGCTGTGCCTTTCTCATTGGTATGGGATGGCCTGCACTGCTGGGTTTAGGTTCTTGTGTTTGTGAACATTTTAAACCCAGTCCTGCATCTTTCCTCTTGCCTCACATTGGATTCTCTGCCCAGTCTGAAGGTCTTTTGTGGATGGAGAGATTACTGCAGGCGCCAGGTAGTCGTCGTCCCAAGGACCTCACTGCTGATTCATGCTGCGGTATCCAGAACAGAGTGTGATACTGCCGGAGACTAACTGGCGACTGAGTTACTGATTTACCGAGAACACAGGACTGCAAGGGGCAACCCAAATGGGCCATACTATTGTCAAACAATTTGTTTACTTCTGTTGAGCAGGAGAGGAATGCTCCGTTTTTCTCTCTCTCTTGGTGCTTTCATATAGAATTACACAGTACAAAAGAGGACCTTTGGCCCATCAAGTCTGTACTACTGAAAATATGCCACTACCGACACAAGTCCCACTTTCTTACACAAGGTCCATAGCCTTGAATGTTAGGATGCCTCCTGTGATCATCCAGGCATTTTTAAATGTTGTGAGGTTTCCGGCAAACTCTCCTCCCAGGCAGTGCATTCCAGATTCCCCACCAACCCCTAGTGAAAACATTTTCTTCCTCAAATCCCCTCTATACCTTCTGCCGTTCACTTTAGAATTATGCCTCCTTGTTGTTGACCCTTCAACTAAACGGAACAGCTGCTTCCTACCCACCATGTCCATGCCCATCATAATCTGATACACCTCTAACAGGCCCCCTCTCAACCTTCTCTGCTCCAAAGAAAACAACCCGAGCTTATCCAACCTCTCTTCGTTATTGAATCACTCCATCCCAGGCACCATCCTGTTGAACCAACTCTGCACTCCAGCCAGTGCAATCACATCCTTCTGACAGTGTGGAGACCAGACCTGCACACAGTACTCCAGCTGTGGCCTAACCAATATCCTGTCCAGCTCCAACATCACCTCCTCTATTGGAAGCTCTCAATTCCTGTGCTTCTCCTCTCGGTCTCACATTTCCAGGAGAAGCATTTTGTGCTGTGCCCATTCCCATACATCCCCAAATGAGAAACATGTCCATGCTAATACTCACATTCCCAAACAAACCGAGAGACCAGGTGGAAGAAAGACTGGAAGTGTAGCACTTCCTCAGTATTGACTGTCTGACTGTGCGGCGCTCCCTCAGTACTGGCCATCTGACTGTACGGCACTCCCTCAGTACTGACCCTCCAACAGTGCAGCACTCCCTCAATTTCATTCAGATCTCTTAGTACAGAACATAGGAGCAACAGGGGCCCAACTGTTCATTCAGTCACCACTCTCCTGTTTAAGTCTTGGTTAATCCTCTTCCTCAACACCAATTTCTCTACTGCTGGTTGCTGCTGAGCCGAAGATTCTCAGTCAGTGAAGGATATTTTGTTCTGAAATGTGGTCTTCATGGCAGTACAGAAAACACAGCAGAGCCAATTTGCTCACAGCAAGCCCCAAGGAACAGCACTGTGACAATGAAAAAGAGAATGCCCAAACACCCGCCACCGCAGCTCATTATTTCACCAGCTTTTCTTCCAAATAGTGGATGTGGAATCACCTAGAAACACCCGAGAAGGCCGATAAGGGCAAGGTTTAATGTCTCATCCTCCAACAGTGCAGCACACCATCAGTACCGACTCTCTGACAGTGCAGCACTCTCTCAGTACTAACCCTCCGTCAGAGTGGCACTCCCGCAGCATTGACCCTCCAACAGTGCAGCACACGCTCAGTATTGACCCTCCGACAGTGCAACACTCCCTCAGTACTGACCCTCTGACAGTGCAGTACTCCCTCAGTACTGACCCTCCAACAGTGTGGCACTCCCTCAGTACTGACCCTCTGACAGCACAGGCGGCACGATGGCTCAGTGGTTAGCAATGTTGCCTCACAGCGTCAGGGATGTGAGTTCAATTCCACCCTTGGGTGACTGTCTGTGTGGAACTTGCACATTCTCCCTGAGTCTGCGTGGGTTTCTACTGGATTGTCTGGCTTCCTCCCGCAGTCCAAAGGTGTGCAGGTTAAGTGGATTGGCCATGCTAAATTGCTCATAGTGTTCAGGTGTGTGCAGGCTTGGTGGTATAGCCATGGGAAATGCAGGGTAAGGGGATTTGTCTGGGTTGGATGCTCTTTGGAGGGTCAGTGTGGACCCATTGTGCCAAATGGCCTGTTTCCACATTGTAGACATTCTATGATCTATGACAATGTGGCACTCCCTCAGCACTGACCCTATGACAGTGCAGCATTCCCTCAATTCTGACCCGCTGGAAGTGTAGCACTTCCTCAGTATTGATTGTCTGACTGTGCGGCGCTCCCTTAGTACTGGCCATCTGACTGTACGGCACTCCCTCAGCACTGACCCTCCAACAGTGCGGCACTCCCTCAATTTCATTCAGATCTCTTAGTACAGAACATAGGAGCAACAGGGGCCCAACTGTTCATTCAGTCACCACTCTCCTGATTAAGTCTTGGCTAATCCTCTTCCTCAACACCATTTTCCTGCCATCCCCATGTATCCCATGATATCTTCAATGTCTGTCTCTTGAACCTATTCAGTGTCTGAGCTTCTACTGCCTTCTGGGACAGAGAAGTTCCTTGGATTCATCACCATCTGTGTGAAGAATTTCTTCCTCATCTCAGTCCTAAGTTGCCTTCTTGTTACTTGAGACTGTATCCCTGGACTCTTTGCAACAAAGCCCACCCTCTCCCCATCCAGAGGCAACTTCCCTCCAGTATATCCCCTGCGATTTGTCCACACATCAAAATTGGTTGGGTTACTTTTTGCTCTGTCATTTGGGCATGCCCTCCAGGTTTGCGAATGGGTGAGAGACGGGTGCATACACAATTCTGCTCAAAAAGTTTCTGCCTTCAGTTATGAAGGAATGTCTGAAAGGAAAAGAGAGAGAGAGAGATGGAGAGAGGGGAAAAGGGTTTGGGAGATTCCACATGAACTGGAAGTCAGTAGTTGTGAAATGTCTTGTTTGTTTGTGAACATTACTATCAGTGTTGACTTATTCCAATTCCATGACATAGCCTCCCCCTTCGTGAGTGACAAGGTGTCTGTGTCTGTGTGTGCGTGTCTGTTTACAATTGGACCTGTTCCAATCTTAACATCAGAAAATAGGGTAGAGGGTGGGATGGGGTGGTCACAATTCCTGGAAAAGATCTCTGACGCGTTTGCTCAAACATCGAGGTGTTCCAGTACGCCTCCGGTGCAGGGATATAAAGGGGAACACACAAACCAAAGCCATATCACAACTGGAAGATCAGACAAGTCGAGATGGGCAGCAACCAGATGAAAACCCGACTGGTCCTGGTCACTCTGGTATTGCTGGTCTTCTTTGAGATGAGCCAGTGCTTTACACTGTCCAAGGTAAGCAAAGACGCATCCCTCTCTGGTGGTGCCTTTTCTGCATTCATAACTGAATATACCACCCTGAAAGACCAGTTGCTAGGCAATAGGACTTTACGTGTTCATGGTTTTAATATTCGCCCCTCGTCCGGATTTGCTGTCATTATCTTCTGCTTGTTTCCTTGTTTTATCTCCTTTACATTTTCACCCTTCAAATCCCCTATCTCTATCACCTCCTCCAGCCCCTACACTCCTCCCTATCTCTAAACCCTCTTCCACCCACTATGCTCCTCCCTATCTCTGTAACTTTCTCCAGGTCATTACCCTTTCCTATCTCTGTAATCTCCTCCATGCCTTACACCCCTCCCTGTCTCTGTAACCTCTTCCAGACCATATATCCCTTCCTAACTCTGTAACCTCCTCCAGCCCCTGCACCCCTCCCTATCTCTGTAACCTCCTCCAGGCCTTACACCTCTCCCTGTCTCTGTAACCTCCTCCAGACTGAATACGCTCCCTATATCTGTAACCTCCTCTAGACCTTACACCTCGCTCCCTAAAAATTACTGTCTTTCTTTTTTGTCCTCTCTTTCTCCCCAACTTGTTTTTGTCATTCAGCTTTCCGTTGCCACTTTGTATGTTGATAATTTCTCTCCTGTTGCAGAGTGAGAATGGACAAGGGTCCCTGACCACTAAGAAATCCCAAAACCCGAGGGACATGGTAAGTTGAAAGCAATATTATATTTTAAACTGCTGCTCTGCCTGCTTTTTCTGCAAAAGGTGTTTCATTTTCAAACAGCGACGCTCTGTCCCATTTATATGTAGTAGACAGTTTTAAATAGAATTCATGAGACAATAAAACAGGAGACCAGATTCAGCCCGTCGAGTCTGCTCCACCATCCAATGAGATCATGGCTGATCTGATAATCCTCAAATCCACTTTCCTGCCTTTTCCCCATAACCCTTGATTCCCCTTACTGATTAAAAATCTATCTCAGTCTTGAATATACTCAATGACCCAGCTTCGATAGCCCTCTGCAGTAAAAAATTTCACGGATTGACAAACCTTTGACAGAAGAAATTTCTCCTCATCTCTGTCTGAAATGTGCAATCCCTTCTTCTGAGATGATGCCCTCCGGTCCTAGATTCTCACACAAAGAGAACCAACCTCTCCACATCTATCCTGTCAAGTCTCCCAGTAATCTTCTATGTTCATTAAGGTCATCTCATTCTTTTATATTCCAACGAATATAAGACCAATCTACTCAACCTCCCCTGAAAAGACAGTCCCTCCATGCCTGGTACCAGCCGAATGACTTTTTTCTGGAGTTCCTCCAATGACACAATATCTTTCCTTCCATAAGTCGTTCAAATCTACTTGCAGTATTCTAGATGTGCCCTGACTGGGGCCTTGTTTAGTTTTAGCAAAACCTCCCAATTTTGCTCTCCATGCAATTTTGAAATAAACAACAACATTTCATTTGATAAACAACAACATTCCATTTGGCTTCCAATTTGACAAGGGACCCAAAACTGTCAGAGGGTCAGTACAGATGCAGCACTGCACAGTCAGAGGGTTAGTACTGAGGGAGTGTCGCACTGTCGGAGTGTCAATACTCAGGGAGTGTTGCACTGTCAGAAGGTCAACACTGAGGGAGTGTCGCATTGTTGGAGGGTTAGTACTGAGGGATTGCTGCACTGTTGGAGGATCTGTACTGAGGGAGCACCACACTGTCAGAGGGTTAGTACTGAGGGAGCGCTGCACTGTCAGAGAGTCAGTGCAGAGGGAGTGCCGCATTGTCGGAGGGTCAGTGCTGAGGGAGTGCCGCACTGTTGGAGGGTCAATACTGAGGGAGTGCCGCACTGTCGGAGGGTCAGTGCTGAGGGAGCGCCGCACTGTCGGAGGGTCAGTACTGAGGGAGCACCGCACTGTCGGAGGGTCAGTACTGAGTGAGTGCTGCACTGTTGGAGGGTCAGTACTGATTAAAAACATATGATCCAGGTGTGTCCTAATTGTAGGAGCTTGCTGTGCACAAATTGGCTGCGTTGTTTCCTATATCACAACAATAAAACGGAATTTTCCATTGGCTGTGAGGCTTCGGGAAATGGTGAAAGTAGCTGAAGAAATGCCGGCTGTCCCTGCCAGTGACTGACATTGCACAGCTGACATGTTGTCAAAGGGAACAGGTGCCTTATTTCTTTCCAGAACATTCTGACTGTTTGGTCTCCATCTTTTTAGGCATCTGTGCTGCTGCGGCAGAAGAGAATGAGCCACATCTCGTTGTGCTTGTACTGCTGTGGATGCTGTAAAACGTCGATGTGTGGATTTTGCTGCAAAATTTAAACGCTAGCCCCTCAGTCAAAGAATGTCATCCTGCTAAAGGCCTTACCATCCTTATTTATTGCTTGGTATCTATTTAATGCAGCTGCCTCTCGTCGTTTTCAATTAAAGCTGCACCTGCATTTTACACTGCAGGAAAAGGCCATTCAGCCACTCTGCTCTGTGTTGGCTCCACACTGGCCTCCTCCCACATCATCTCCCCTCATCTTCCCCCCATCACCATCTCCTTTTGTTTCTCTCTCCCTTATGTGTTTAACCAGCTTACCCCCTCTTCGATACGTCAATATGATTTTCAACCCCCCACTCCTTGTGAGAGCAAGTCCCACATTCTCTCCCCCACTCCCTGTGGAAGAGTGTCCCATATTCTCCCCTCACTCCCTGTGGGAGCGAGTCCCACATTCCCCTGCTCCACTCCTTGGGGGAAGACGTAGCTCCTGAATTTCCCATTGGATTTATCAGGCACTGTCTTATCTTGAATTTTAGTTTTAACCATTTCTGGTACCAATATTCTGTTCTTTGAATGTAACCTGAATGTCAATTTATGAAGTTGTGTGCATGTAAATGCACGCGTGTGTGTGTGTATGAAGTTGTGTGCATATAAATATGTGTGTTGTGTTTGAGTATGATTGCATGTGTGTGTGCGTGTTTGAGTGCATGTTTAAGTGTGTGTATTTGAGTGTGCATGTAGTAACTACGACCGAGTCATTGAAATGTCTGATACTGAAGTTGATGATACTTAAAATCTGAAGGGATGACAAGCAGGTATCTGTTCTATGTTCTTAAGCAGAAATTTAGCCTTACAATATATTCACACTGCATCTCAGCAGGACAACAGTTGTAAATACTGTACGTTGTAAAACAAAATTAATAAACCACTATTATCTTCAGAAAACAGCTGACTTGGTATTTCACATGGTTGGTATCTCTCACTTCACGATCACCCTGACATCAGAAAATAACTGTCCTTGTTCCTCTGGAGAGCTGGATAAAGTTAAGCATGTTGTTTCCTTTGTTCAGTCAGTTGCCCTGACATTTGTTACAAATATCATCAACATAACACACTCTCAAAAGTGCTTCACACAGCCAACAGCCACTTCCTCATGCACGAGTTAGGTGTAGAATTCTTGCTGGTCTTCTCTGCTTCTCACTCTGCCTAATACAGCTATACCCACTCTGGTTCCACACAATAACACGTGAATGTAAGAATTGAGAGTCCACCACACAAAGACAGCTGGCTGTGGTCTCAAATCCACTTTCCTCTCTGGCTCCCTATAAACCTCTGTAACACTCAAATCCCTTGTACATCAAAAATCTGTCCAATTTAAGCCTAGAATATGGCCCATAATGATTCAGCCTCCACTACTCTCTAGGGAAGAGAATTCCACACGTCCCTAAACATGCCTTAGGTGTTCTCAAAACAGCACTGCCATTTCTACCCTCAGTTCCTCTTTGTGGTTGCTGACTTCTCCTTCCTATGGTTCACTGTCCTTTTTTTTCAAAATATGATCAGGGTTTGAGAAGCATCACTGGCTGGGCCAGTATTTATTGCTCGTCCCTAGTTGCCCCTTGAGAAGGTGGTGGTGAGCTGCCATCACTGTCCATGTATTCTAGGTTGACCCACAATGCTGTTATAGGGAGGAATTCCAAGATTTTGACCCAGTGACACTAAAGGACCAGCGATATATTTCTAAGTTAGGATGGTGAGTGGCTTGGAGTGGAACTTGTGGGTGGTGGTGTTCCTATGTATCTGCTGCCCTTGTCCTTCTAGATGGAAATGGTTGTGAGCTTGGAAGGTGCTGTCTAAGGAGGCCTTGGTGAATTTTTGCAGTACATCTTGTAGATGGTACACACTGCTGCTACTGAGCATTGGTGATGGAGGGAGTTTCATTAGAAACAGGAGTAGGTCATTCAGTCCGTCAGCCCTGTTCCACCACTCAGTACGATCATGGATGTTCACACACCCAATCCCCATAACCACGTGTTCCATGGTAATCAGAAACCTTTCAATCTCTACGTTAAGCTTTCTCAAATACTGGGCTTCTACAACCCTATGTCATTGAGGATTCCCAAGGTTCACAATGGGAATTCCCAAGGATTCCCAAGGTTCACAATGCTCTGGGGAAAGAACTTCTCTTCATCTTGGATCTAAGTGGCATCCCCCTCATTTTTAAATTGTGACCCCTGATTCTAAACTCTTCACACAGGGGAACACAGCTTACCTGAGTCATTCCTATTTATCCATTTAAACCAATCAAGTTGGGGCTGCTTTTACTTCGATGGTGTTGAGCTTTTTGAGTGTTGATGCAGCTGCACCCATCCAGGCAAGTGGGGAGTATTCCATCACAGTCCTGACTTGTGCCTTGTCGATGGTGGACAGATGGTGACAGAAAGTGAGTTACTCGTTATTGGATTCCGAGCCTCTGACCTGTTCCTGTACGTATTGTGTCTGTTCTTCCATTTTTGTATTATTTTCTAACTTTCTGCAATGCTGTCCCTACCAATTCTCTCTTGCCTGGTCCATTTCCCCTTGTCTATCCCTGCTTAGCATCTCACCTTAGTTTAGTTTTCCTGTGCATTAATAGACCTGGCTTGCACTTAATGTGGTGTGATCGATTGTGTGGTGGCTATTCCTTCAGTCTTTCATGGGATGTGGCCATCACTGACAAGGCCAGCAGTTACTTCCTATCCACAATTAGAGGAGGCGATGGCCTAGTGGTATTATTGCTGGACTGTTAATCCAGAGACCCAGATAACATTCTGGGGATCCAGGTTCAAATCCTGCCACGGCAGATGATGGAATTTGAATTCAATAAATATCTGGAAATAACAATCTAACGATGACCACAAATCCATTGTTGATTGTCGGAAAAACCCATCTGGTTGACTAATGACCTTAGGGAAGGAAACTGCCATCCTTACCTGGTCTGGCCTACATGTGACTTCAGATCCACAGCAAAGGGGTTGACTCTTAACTGCCCTCTGGGCAATTAGGGATGGGCAATAAATGCTGCCTAGCCAGTGACGCCCTCATCCCATGAGTGAATAAAGAAAAAAAAACGAGTAATGAATAAAGAAATTGTCCTTTGAGAGGGAATTGAAAGAGTAGTCACTTTCATGAACTGCAACATGCCTACCTGTAGTGGGTGGATATGGCTAAATGACTTTGGAGGGCCACTGCAGGAGTTATGTATAGGCCAAGACTGGGTAAGGATGGCACATTTTGTTCCCTGAAGGACATTAGTGAACCTGATGGGTTTTTATGATAATTGATTATAGTTGTCACTCATCATCATTGAAACAAGTTTCCAATTTCAAACTAATTAATCAATTGACATTATTAATCAAATTCATCAAATGAAATGTCATGTTGCGGGTGTACAGGACATTACTTAGGCCACTTTTTGTGCTTAATTCTGGTATCCCTGCAATAGGGAATACGTTGTTAAACTTTAAAAGGTTCAGAGAAAATTTACAAGGATGTTGCCGCGGTTGGAGGGTTTGACCTATAAGGGGAGGCTGAGAAGGCTGGAGCTATTTTCCTTGCAGTGTCGGAGGCTGAGGGGTGACCTTATAGAGATTTATAAAATCATGAGGGGCATGGATAGGGTGAATAGCCATGGTCTTTTCCCCAGGGTAGCAGAGTCCAAAACTAGATGACATAGGTTTACGGTGACAGGAGAAAGATTTAAAAAGGACCCAAGGGGCAACTTTTTCACACAGAGGGTAGTGCATGTATGGAATGAACTGCCAGAGGAAGTGGTAGATGTGGTACCATTACAACATTTAAAAGGCATCTGGGCAGGTATATGAATAGGAAAGGGTTAGAGGGATATGGGCCAAATGTTGGCAAATGATTAATTTAGGATATGTGGTTAGCATGGATGAATTGGACAGAGGACTGCTCTCTCATTACACAGAGATGACTGGTAGTGGTTTAATCTGAGGGTCACCATGCCTTAGGTGAGGGGAGAGATTGAGGAGAGCAGTCTTTCATAGTAACCTCAGCCGGTGCAGGAATTGAATGTGTGCTGTTGGCGTTGCTCTGCTTTGCAAACCAGCAGTCCAGCCAAATGAGCTAACTGCAACCCCCACTAAAAAAGCAACATAATAACCAATTGAATTCAAGCTCCACCAGCTGCCGAAGGTGGAATTTGAACGCAAGTCTCACAGCATTCAGGTGGACCTCTGCGTTTCTGTCCCAGTGATAATACCATCCCACCAGTCTGTGATTACCATCACTCCTTTAACATCCTTATGGAAGCCATGATAAAAGAAGCACAGCTTAAGGCACAGAAAGATGTCAAGGTCGGAAGTCAAGCAGTCAATAGGTCCTAGTGTTGAGCGCAGAGGTCAGAGAATGGTCATCGATAGATAAAGTGAAGGGGGTGAAAGCTTACAGAATAAAAATGAAGGTTACAGAAGAAAACAAGGATGATCAGAAAAGACAACTGTGGGAAAGTGGAAGTCATGGTAAGGGTGAATTGCTGGAACAGGTCTCACAATGCATGTTGTGTGTGTGTGAGTGCAAGAGTGTGTGCATGTGTGCGAAAGCATGTGTATATGTGTGAGAGTATATGAATGTGAGAATGTGGGTGTGCATGTGTGAGTGTATGTGTTAGCTTGTGTGAAATTGAAAGCATGTGTGACTGTGAGAGTGTGTTAGACTGTGCATGTGAGACTGTGTGTGTATGGATGTGCATGTGTGAATGAGAGTGTGTATGTGAGTGTATGTGTGAGAGTGAGTGTGTGTGAGTGAGTGTGTATGACACAGAGTATATGTGAGGGAGAGGGAGAGAATGTGTGAGAGAGAGAATGTGAATGTGAGCCCATGTGAGAGTGCGTGTGAGAGTAAGGGTGTGTACAAGTGACAGTGTGTGTGACAGAGGGTGTGAGTGACAGTGGGAGTATGTATGAGGGAAAAGGAGAGTGTGTGTGTGTTTGCGTGAGAGAGAGAGTGTGAGAGAGGATGTGTGTGAGATTGAGAGAGTGTGTGAGGAAGAGATTATGTGTGAAAGAGGGCATGTGACAGTAAGAGTGTGTACAAGTGACAGTGTGTGTGACAGAGTGTGTGGTGAGAGTGGGAGAATGTGTGAGGGAGAAGGAGAGTGTGTATGTGCGTGTGAGAGAGAGAGAGCATGTGTGTGTGAGAAGGCTGTACGAGAGTGTGTGTGTTTGAGGAAGAGATTATGTATGTGAGAGAGAGAGAGAATGTGTGTGTGAGAGTGTGTGTGAGTGAATGAGCATGTGTGAGAGAGAGTGTGTGCAAGAGTGAGAGTGTGTGTGAGAATGTGTGTGTGAGACAGTGTGTGAGACAGAGAGAAATGTGTGTGAGAGAGAGACAGAGTGTGAGTGTGTGGGAGAGACAGTGTGTGTGAGGGAGAGAGAGTATGTGTGAGACAGAGAGTGTGTGTGACAGTGTGTGTGTGAGAGTGAGAGAGTGTCTGTGTGAGTGTGTGTGCTTGTGGGAGACAGTGTGTGTGAGTGACTGTGTGTGATTGACTGTGTATGTGAGAGAGAGAGTGTGTGTGGGAGAGTGTGCGTGAGAGAGTTTGTGCAAGAGAGAATCTGTGTGTGTGTGTGTGTGCACGCGCGAGCATGAGTACGTGTTTCTTTTGCTGTTTTGTTCCTTTATTTATAACCCCAACATTTCAGCTGTTTTGTTGTAAAAATTAGTGAAAAAATTAAAAATCTTCTTCCATTGGCTTGCAAGCTTCTGATGTTTCCAATGAAGTACAGTTCTGGTGGTAGCTCCTCATGCTGGGCTCACTTTTCCAAATTTTGCTGTCTTCTCTTTCACCCTCCTTTACTTTTTCGCAAATATCTAATTTCCTGAGAGGCCTATTCCAGAAACGAGGCAAGTGGTTGGGGCAGGGAGATAGGCTGGCTGGGCTG